TGTTGAGCTTGTGGCAGGATGAAGGAAGACGTGAGGAAAAAATGAGAGAAATATTCAAACTCCTTCCTCAGGGACTGATCTTTTCTGTTGTGCAAACTGCTTTTTTTTTTTTTTTTTTTTTAATGTTTTTGGTACAGGGTCTCACTATGTAGCTCGGATTCGTAGTGCACCTCGTTTTCAGCTTCCCCAGCACTGGCATTACAGGAGTGCACCACTATACCCAGACTTGCTGGGTCATCTTAGGAGGAGGGATAGGCAAAAATAACTATTGCCCAGAATAGTTTCATTTTTTCTTTTTTTTTTTTTTTCTTCCTTTGCCCTCACTTCCTACACTAAATCGCCAGGCAACTCACTTCTAATGAAAATCTTACTAAGTATTTCCCCCATCTCTCTCTTTCTATACCAGCAACCTGAGCCCAATTACCAAGTCTTGATGCGCATCCTCATCTCTAGATGCGAGATTGATCTTCTAAGCATCCGAGCTGAGTTCAAGAAGAAATTTGGGAAGTCCCTCTATTCTTCTCTCCAGGTGAAACTTGGCCAGTCCTTGGCCTGGTGCCCCGAGAGCTTCACCCCCTGCTCCCACCCATGAGCCCCCACCTGCCCACCACTGAGCACATGCTCATATGCTCAGCCTGTGAGCAGCATTTGTTTGGTTCCCTGAGTGCTGAACTCCAAGCACCAGGGAGGACCCTGCCCTGAGTGAGCTGTGGACCAGCGTGAGGAAGGAATCAGAGTGCTGCAGCACTGACTCCAGGGTCTTACTAATGCTCAGTCCTTTGTCTGCAGGATGCAGTGAAAGGAGACTGCAGGCAGGCTCTGCTCGCCCTGTGCAGAGCTGAAGATCTTTGAGACCTCCGTCTTCCCACTCACACAACATCTAAGAAGCTGTGAATCCCTGTTTGGCTAAGCCTTCAAGATCAGCTCAGCTCTGGATAGGATAGCCCTGTGTGGGGCACCACCTGCCTCAGCTCCTTGTTGAGGCTAGCATTCTGCATTTCTTTTCAATTACTTAATTCCCCTCATCTCAAAATGATGTCTGTACCTGAGTCCTCTTGCTCCACCTCAGATGTGTGGTAATGGGACACCTTTGATAGTTTCTGTCCTGCTCATCCTCTCAGATTCTGGCCAGACCCTCACTGGTACTTGAATTCATTTGGCAAACCTCCCTACTGTTGTTTGTGTGCCCTGATTTGAAGTTTGGGTGGAACAGGACATGGACCAGGAAGAGGCCTTGATTTGGTGCACCTTTGATGTACACTTAGCTGTTCAATAGGAATCCTGTTTTTTCTCAGTGCTACAGTTGTCAACATACAGGGGCCGGGGAGATGGCTCAATGGAATAAGCGCTTCCCTGGCAAGTGCCAGGGCCTGAGTTCAACCCCGGGTTCCGCAAAAAAACACGATTGTCAACATACTCTGGCCCAGGGGATTCCTCCTGGTCATTACCCTCTTTTCCCAGGAAATTTCAGACAAAATAATTGAAAAACAGCTACCTGAATAAGGGCAGAAATGGTGAGAGGTAGCAAAAGACCATCCATTTGAACTGGGAAGATAGTAGAGTGTCAAACAACCCTCCCCAATCTGGGAAATCCTGGTAACTTGCCCAATTTATCTGTCCACTGAAGGATATGGAAACCTGCTTCTCTTTGGGACAGGATTTACTTTAAGACATCTATGAAAAATATAAACAAAAAAAGCTAGGCATGGTGGCACATGCCTATAATACCAGCACTTGGGAGGCTGAAGCAGGAGTTTAAGACCAGCCTGGAATATGCAGCTAGACCCAAAACAAAAATATAAACAAGAGAAGAAAACAAAACATGGTTCCCCTTGCTGGGCTTGATTAGAAACCACTCCTCCCAGTTTCAGCATTCCACAATCAGGACTAATACCCAACCCCATTGCCACAGGGTGAAACAAACAACAGAAGTCAGTAAAGAGGTTTTATTTCCAGACCTTAGGCAGGTATTACAAATAACAGATAGAAACCCAAATCAAACTCTGAAACAAATGGAAAAAGGCCTGCAGTAGCCAGGAGCCCCCAGGCAGTGTGAGACAGGAAGTAGTAGAGCTCTGCATTCCAGAGAGGGACCTCGCCTGGAACCTGAGTCTGTGTGTTCTGGAGACTATTTGGGGGAAATCTTCACCCCATCATCCCAGGATGGGAGGAAGAGAAGGCAGCAGTAGCAGCAGCATCACATGAGGGCCAGGATGTTGCTGAGTCCGTCCTTGCCTGCCCTGACTCCCGCAGTCCATAAATAAGTTACCCTGTGTATCTCAGGGGCCGAGGTGGAAAAGCAAACCAACCAACCACAGCTTCTGAACGAAGGGGTAGAGCTACAGAAGAACACAGTCTGTCTGGTGCTTTGGCCTCTGCCGCCGCTCCCCAGCTGGCCGTCCAGAGGTGGCTCCTCTGCCCTATATGAGATTTAACAACTGGTCACTCAGCATCTTTGGAAAGGCACAAGGTTCTAGAGAAGACCAGGATTAGGGACAGTGGGGGAAAGAAGGATAAAAAGGGGTGCCAGAGGAAGGCCTGCAAAGGGAGGAACACGGGGCTCACCTGTGGCAGCGGGGCCCGTGTCTGCACAGGATGGACTGCTTGCTGCTGTTGATACTCCTCCTGCTGAAGCTGCTGTGCCAGCTCCAGGTCAGTCAAGCCCAGTGAGCCTTGTGGCTGCTGCTGCTGCTGCAGGGACAAGGCAATCAGGTAGTCCTGGAAAGAACAAAAGTTAAAAGGTATAGAAGGGCAACACCTGCAATACCAGCACCAGGGAGGCTGAGGCAGGAGGTTCCCCTTGAGTTTCAGGCCAGCCTGGGCTATATAGTGATACCCTATCTCAATAAATAAATAAAAACAAGCAATGAATTACAAGGCAATGCAAACAGGGCCTGGGTGGACTGAGAGTCGTCAGGCTAGGTGTGCAAACCAGATTTTCTTTTGAATTCTCCAGTTCCTTCTCCCTCAGAGCAAAACACAGAGCCAATGTATTCTCTGTGGTGCCAGAAAATACATACCAAGTGAGGAGATGGGCCACAGGGAACAGAGAGTGAAGGAGCATGGATGTTAGATGTCATGGCCCCCAGATCATAAAACACATGCAGTTCACTTACAGCCCAAAGCTCTGAGGCCAATGGGATCTCTACACCTTTCCCAAAGGCCACACACACCTGGTCTACCTGCAGCTGCTTTTCTGGAGAGCCATCCCCACCTTCTGCTCCGGGTGCCTTGCCCAGGGAATGGCTGAGATGGAAGTCAGAGTCGCAGAAGCAGCTGTCTCCATCCACACTGTGCAGACTCTCCCATACCACCTGCTCCTCCTGTAGAAAACCTTGGTCTGTGACCAGTAGGTACAAGTGACTCTGCAAAGCAAAGGTCAGAGCCCAATGGTGGGACAGGTGACGTGAGGGAGGCTTACTGCCCTCCACCATCTGAGACACACAGCTAGAGACCTCTGAAACACCTGATGTGCCAGCTAAAACTTGAGCCCTTTCATAAATGTGTGTGGCTGGGGACAGAGAGGGCTACCGGAGTGGGCGACAGTGCAGTATTATTTTAGTTAAGTGTGGGGTCCTCAGGGGTGAGGTGCCACCCACGATCCTGCTCCTACCCTATTCCCCCTGATTCTCTCAGCTTGCTGATAGCAATGGGGCTAAGCCCTTGAGGACCAGAGGCATCACCGTCCTCTATGAGTTCCTAGAGAGCTTTGGGCATTTCTAACTCTGGAAGACTCTAGTGCTCTTCAAAAGTCCCACTTCTCCTTTCTGAGAGAGGATTCTCCTTTCCTGTTCTGCTGATGGCAGGCTTATCCTGTGTGGCTTGCTATGACCATTTCTATGTGAACAAAAATGACAGGAGTCATTTCTAGGCAGAAGAGCTAAGAGTGAATGCAGAGTAACCAGTTTTCTCCCCCATGTCTCCTAAATAAAGCCTCTTTGTCAGCCTAAGTCCCAGCGGGAAGATGGTATGGGTAACAGCATTACCCATCTGCAGTGGAATGAAGCATGAATGAGAAATAAACATTTGTCATGGGAAGCCAAAAGATTTTAAGGTCAGTTGTACCCACAGATTAACCTGCCTTGTCCTGGCTGACGCTTTGACCCAGGAGAAAAAGGTATAGGGAAACAACAGCTCTCCAGCCTGCCCCTTCCAAATCCTCATTACCTTGTGCTTAGTCATAGTGCTAAAGTGGTTGTTCCGGAAAAAGACACTAAGTTCATCCTCCTTGGCAGCTGCAGTAAGCTCACACAGGCCGTGGTAGGTCAGCTGGGCCGCGGTGGTCTCTAGGAACTGCTCTGCAATCAGGCCTACCAGACAGAAGGCATGAGACAGGAAACTTGGCTTCAGTCCAAAAGTCCATGGGATGGGGACATAGCTCAGCAGTCTAAGCTCAAGGACCTGGGTTTGATCCCTGGTACCGTATGCTGTGCCGGCCTGGGAACACTGTACATGCTGTGCTGGCCCAGAAAACTGTGTGTGGCTGTGTACACCTGTAATCCCAGTGCTGGGGAGGCTGAGACAGGAGGATCACTACAAGTCTGAGTTATATAGCAAGACCCAGTACCAAATAAATAAGTAAAAAGTGGGCTGGGAGATAGCTCAGTGGAATAAATGGTTCCCTGGCAAGCGCAAGGGCCTGAGATCAATCCCTGGTACTGGAAAAAAAAAAAAAAAGGAAAAAGATTTTTAAAAATTAAAAAAAAAAAAAAGGCTGGCCAGATAGCTCAGCAGATTAAAGCACCTGCTTAGGCAGATTCAAGGACCAGGGTCTGATCCCTGGCCGGCCCCTCCCCTGGGGCATGCTGAGACAGTGATTGAGACAGGGCGTGGTGAAACGCACCTGTAATCCCAGTGCTTGCGCACTGAAAACAGGAGAATAACTACGAGTCCAATCTGTGTAGTGAGACGTAGACCCTGTACTAAATACATAAAAAAGAAAAGAAACATCCATGATGGGCCTGGCATGGTAGCTCACACCTATAATCCCAGTACTGCACTTGGGATACTGAGGCAGGAGGATCACTTTGAGATCAAGGCCAGCCTAGGATCCAAAGTGTACTCAAGACCAGTCTGAATTACACAGTGAGAACTTCCTTGTCTCAATAAAATAAATCCTATGATGTAGTGAGAAAAGAGGACTGTGGTTCAGGAGCAGAGCATCTGCCCCGCGGGCATGAGGCCTTGGATTCCACCTGCAGCACCATCAAAAACAAAAACAAAATCATGGATGGGAGGGTTCCTCAAAAGTCCTCTGAGTTCCACCTGAAGTCCCTTTGCTAGGGCTATGGGCGTACCTCAGTGGCAGGGCACTTGGCTCAGCCTCAAGGCTCAGATCTAGTGCATGCAGCACAAGCGGGCTGGGGTGGGAGATGCCAGTCGAACCCAAGCTGCAACCCTTCCCTTCACTCAAGACCATGGGGCCAGGGATCTCACCTTCTGTCACGAGGTTGGGGTCACTAGAGTGTTTGCAGGTGATGATCTTCTCCACCAGCTGGTTATAACTCAGTTTCCCAACTGCACTCACGGCCTCAGGACTCTTCAGGGGGAAACCGTAGGTGGGACCAAAACAAAATTTGAGTCTTTGTTTTTTGTTTTTTTTAAGGAAGGAAATGACCCAAGCCCACAAGGACTACAGCACTATGATCAAAGGTCCCTGGATTTTTGATGTCTAAAGAACAGATCCTATTTGCACATAATGCGATATATTAGGAGGCTGTTTCAAAAAGAATGGTTAAAAGTAAGAAATTCTGAAGTAGGTATGGTCTCCAAAGCTATTCCCTCCCAGCCAATCGAACTCTTACTTCTCTAACCCCACCTCGCCGAATGCCTCATGCACAGCCCGAGCTGTACCAGTCTGCCTGGAGCTCCCCTCACCTGTGGGTCCACAAGCCAGCCGTGGTACAGAGGGACCCCCAGGAGGTCAAAAACACTGCACTCCGGAGTGTACTCAAAGTCTGAGACACCTGTGAACCGCACGTTCACATCCAGGCCCGTGGCCAGCTTAGGCAGCACCGTCATTGCATCGTCCACATTCTGGAGGCAGAAAAAAAAATGATGGCCCAGTTTCCTCTCCCTACACACTCCACTCCCACCCCCAGAAATTAAAAAAAAAAAAACACACACTAATCGTGTTACTTTTTTCCTTGGTTCTCTTTTATGCCAGTTCATTCCTCTTTTATAACTGCAGACCTTTTAAAACTCCTTTATTTTTAAATTTTAGGGCTGTCCAAATAGCTCAGCGGATTAAAGCACCTGCAAGCAGGAGCCTGTGGGGAGGTGGGGAGGGTGTGTTGCGATCTCAGGGCCTGCTGTGCTGGCCCTGCCCCCAGGGTGCTCTGAGACAGCAATTGAGACTGGGCATGGTGGCACATGCCTGTAATCTCAGCTCCTGGGAGGCTGTAAACAGGCAGATCACTACAAGTCTGATCTAGTAGTGAGACCCTGAACACATGTAGACCCTTCCCTAAAATATAATAAATACATTTTATTTATTGGTTTTTGAGACAGGGTCTCACCGTGCATGTCAGGCTGGCCTTGAACTCATGGGGGTCCTCCTGCTTCTGCCTCCCAAGCGCTGGGATTATAGGTGTGCACCACCACATGCAACTTCTAGGCTGAGTTTGAATTGGTAATCCTGTTTTAGCCTCTCCAAGTGCTGGGTGTGTAGGCATGCACTACCATGCCCAGCTAGGACCAAAACTATATCATCTGGGGCCAGGGAGATAGCTGCATAGAATAAGCACTTGCCTGGCAAGTGTAAGGTCCCGAGTTCAATCCCTGGTACTGCAAGGAAAAAAAAAATATCATCTTCTTTCTTTTTTTTCTTTCTTTTTTTTTTTTTTTTTTTTTTGCCGAAATGGGGATTGAACTCAGGTCCTTACACTTGCCAGGGAAGCTCTTATTCCACTGAGCCATCTCCCCAGCCCCAAGTATCATCTTCTCTTCCAGTACAAGTTACAATTTAAGCAATCTTATTGAGAAGCAGTAAAAGAATTCTCTTGGTGGTTCCAGTGTCCCTTACCAACCTGCAAACCGCTCTATGCGCAAAGCACTGGCCTCACCTGCTGAAAATTAAGCTGAAGTCCTTCTGACTTCTCTTGGGGCTTGATGGACAGGAGGCAGTCCCCTGTAAGACAAGATTCCTTGTCAGCCTGTCCTACCAATAGCCCCAAAGCTCGGCCTCTTTCACAGAGTGATAGTAATATCATGGCACCACCTATTTTCAGACTGCAGAGGACCTCACAGTCTAATCCAGACCCCTTAGAATAGGTTTGTAAAGGTGAAGGGCCCATCCAAGGTCTCATACAGAAGCTAGGGGCAGAGGATGGTGAGTTAGCTCACTGGTAGAATGCTTGCCTAGCATGCTCAAGGCCCCGAGGTTTGGCCCCAAGCACAGAAAAAACAAACAACAAAACCAGGATTTCTGGCCAGGGATATAGCTTAGTGGCACAGCCTTGCCTGGCAAGCATGAAGACTTGAGTTTGCTTCCTGGTACCAAAACAAAACAAACATAATTGGATTCCTGACACCTTAACCTTTGTTTTTGATTATCCAGCCCATAAAACCCCTTACCCTCCCAGCCATGCCATCGCCCCAAATGCAGAGCCCTCCATAGTCTGGGCTTCTGGCTGCATGGACAGCTCTGGGTGCCCCTGAGGGAACTCCTTGTCAGGGCCCAGTCTCTCACCGAGGTGGGCCATGAGCTCGTCGGATGTGATCACTTCCTTCTGGGGAGGCAACTTCACCTGCAAATAGAAAGGGCAATGGGTGCCACCTCCCAAAGCACCATGGCAGAACCCAGGGGAAGCCAGGCAGCTGTGAGGTACTGCAATGCATTCCTGTTGCTGGAGAACAGGAGACAGGAGTAGAACAGAGAACAATCTGGAACATTCTGACTGGCCTGAGAAAAACTCAAGGTGGTGGCTCAGAAAGGAGAACTCCCTGCAGCTCCCAGCACCTGTCTGGGTGGCCTCTTACCTTCCACTGGAGGAAAAGGATGTTCATGATGGCAAGCAGAGGGCACGGTCCATTCGCACTCTGTGTGATGATGGGTGTCCGTGCTCCCTTCCAGGGGATCCACTTCACGCAGTAGAAGTCTGGTTCAGGCTGCCTGGCCCTGGGAGACTGGGGGAGCTCCTGGGGCCCGGAGCAGGCCCCAATCATCTCTACTTCAAGCGACTTTCCACAGACTGGCCCAGGTGGATGCACATGGGCTTCAGGCGGGGGGCACTCCAGGTTCTCCCCGCTCTGGGCTGGAAGTGTTGTTTGGTATCCTGGCTGTGACTCACTTTGGTTTCCCTCCTCTCTCTCCTCATTGGCATTTTTGGCATCCCTGTTCTGAGGCTGCTCCTCAGATCCCAAGGGGACCTCATGGTTCTCACAGGTGACCTCTTCCATACTTCTGGGCTTATCAGGGCCCAGATGCTCAGACTGAGCATGTTCCATGGTGGGAAACAGTCAAACAAGGATCCCTGACAGCGCTTCCTGACCTGGGGCTTTGCCTAGGCCAGCAGAGGTATACACAGGAGAGCCCTGTCCACCAAGATCATTGGTTTGCAAAGCAGAGACCTGGAAAAGGCTTGGAAAGTGAATGTGGTATGGAGGCTGGCTTGTTCTACACAGCCACTCCTAGCTCGGAGCGGCACCTGCCTTTCCCCACTGTGTACACAGAAGGACTACGGCTGAGCTCTCCACCACTAACTTGCTGTGACTGGAGGGGATCTATGCAGATTGGGCTTCCAGGCTTGACAGGGCGGAGGGTTGAATCTGCAAGTGGACTCAGCTTCCCTGTAAAACATAATTTCAGAGAACAAGGAAAACGCAGAGATAGAGGACCTCCAAACGATATAGGAAACTACGATAACTCCCAACCTGCTAGCTGTTTGATAAGTTTGTGTTCCCCAAAAATCAAAGAATGAATTATGGGGAACAATGGAGGTTAGGAAATTAGGGCCGGGGAGATAGCTCAGGAGAATAAGCGCTTGCCTGGCAAGCACAAGGGCCTGAGTTCAATCCATGGTACCACACACACACACCAAAAAAAAAAAAAAAAAAAAAAAAAAGTCACATTTAGAAACTGGGTGTGGTGGCGCCGTGCCTGTAATCCCAATTCTTTGGGAGGCTGAATACATGAGAATCACTATGAGTCTGATCTACATAGTGAGACCCTGTAGACCTTTACTAAAATACATAAACAAACAAACAAACAAACAAAAAAGACTAGGAAATTAAAAAAAAAAAACAAGAACTAGGAAATTTTATTGAGGGAGAGACAGCTCCTAAGAGACAGGAGGGGACCTGGAAAGTGGGTAGCCCATGAGCTCACTCAAAGGAAGTTTTATAGAGCAAAATCACAAGCTGAGCACAAAATCATGAAGCAGAAGAAGGTTAGAACCAATCTATGGGCAACCAAGAAGACTACAGTATAGTCGTTCTCAAGTAATATTGACCCAATAAAGAAGCAAGTTAAAGAACAGTGTGCTTGGAAAGAACAAAGACCTATTTTGGAAGAGATGAGTCAGGAGGTCCTGATAACCCACCCAGGTGACTGATGCCCATTTACAACATCGATCAGTATTGTTTATCCCTCAGGGAGGTATGCAGGTATAGTCACTTTATCTCCGTCCTGAGGCCTGGCCTTCAATGATTGTGCCTGCGGCCACAGTTGTAAAGCTTTCTTATCTTCAGCACTGACTCCTTCCAGGGCCTGGTTCTGTCTGACTGCCTTTAATCTCTCTACCTTAAGAGGAGGGAGAAGTGGAAAAGAGAAGTAGGAAAGGAACAGAAACACACAAAGAGCCAGGCATGGTGATGCACACCTGTAATCCCAGGACTCGGGAGGCTGAGACAGGATTGCTGAGTTCAAGGCCAGCACATGCTACATAATATGACCGTGTCTCAAAGAGAGAGTGGAGAAAATGTTAAGCTACTCGTGGTGGCACAGGCCTCAGCTGTTTGAGAGGCTAAATCAGGAAAATCAAAAGTTCATGGCCATCTTGGGCAACAGGGTAACTTTGTGAGGACCCCTGTCACAAAAAGAGGACTGCGATGTTCAGTGGTAGAGCGCTTGCCTAACCCATAGTGCAGCTGGGGTTGGCTAATTCCTCTGCCCTTCCCAGAACTCCAGAGCACACACAGGGCCCTGAAGGGTAGGTATCCCCTCTTGCCTCACCTCAAGGCTGAAAGCGGTCACCAACTCATAGTGCTTGGGGTGGAGTGGAGATGCAGAGTGGGACCATGCTCCTACTGATGACACCCTCGTGAGGAAAGCGAGCGTTCTACTGAACTTTACACAATCCCAACCACAGCAAGAAGGTCCTGGGAGGGGCTTCCTGTAGGGTAGGGTGGTGGTGGTTTACAAAGACTTGAATTAAAGAATAGATCTGGGGGCCCAGCCCTAGCTCAGTTCTTTAAGTGGCTGCTTCCTCAATGCTGGCAGCCTCAGTTTGCTGTAGTTCAATCCCCACAACACTCCAGCCATGCAAAAGTGCCCTGAAGGCATTCAAGGAGCAAAACACACACACAAAAAAAAAAAAAAAGAATAGATCTGTTAAATAACTTAGGTTGGGGAACATAAAAAGCACTCTCAAATCTTTTTTTTTTTTTTTTTTAATGTATTTAGTACGGGGTCTATAGGGTCTCACTACACAGGTCAGACTCATGTGATCCTCCTGTTTTCAGCCTCCAAGCACTGGGATTCCAGGCATGTGCCACCACAGCCAGTCTCAATCACCTCTCGGTCTCAGCGTGCTCTGGGGATACGCTGGATAGCAAACCCCAGGTCACTGCTCCTGCCTAAGCAGGTGCTTTAGTCCACTGAACTATCTGGCTGCCCCCCCCCCTCAAATCTTCCAACGAGCTTTTCTTCTTTTTTTTTCCCCCGACCCTTCCCCCAAAAAACTTTTTTTTTTTTTTTTTTGGCTTTTTTTTTTTTTTTTTGGCAGAACCAGGGATTGAACTCAGACCCTTGCGCTTGCCAGGGAAGCACTTATTCTACTGAGCCATCTCTCTGGCCCCCCAGCAAGCTTTTCTCTCTTCTTCTTCTTTTTTAGAAATATAGTCTTGCTATGTAGCCCAGGCTGGTCTAGAACTCAAAGCAATTCTGTTTCAGCCTCCGGAGTGCTGACATTACAAACCTGTGCCACCACACAACTCCAGCTAGGGTCTCTTGACAGCTGGAGCTGAGATAATTCTCTTATCCCAAATTGCATGAACCCAAAAATACCCTCCTCTTCCTCCGTTTAGCCTTTCCCTCCCCCTCCTCTTCTTCTTTTCAATTAGTTGTAAGCTCCACTGCACTTGGACTGGCCTTTTTTCCTTTTTTTTTGAGACAGGGTCTTGCTCTGTAGCCCAGGCTGGCCTGAAACTGGCCACAGTCCTCTGGCATCAGCACCCAGAATGCTGGAACTACAGGTGCTTGCCACACCTGGCCAGAAATGCTCTCTTGTCAACTATTTATATGGGACATGAAAATGCTAATTACTAGTTTACATAAAAAAGAAATTCCCTCAGCCAGGTGTGGTAGGTACCCAAGCCTGTAATCTCAACATTTTCAAGATTTGAGGCAGGAAGACAGTAAATTCAAGGTCAGTCTGAGCAGCAAGATCCTTTTTTTAATTTTTTTTTTTAATTTATTTCTTTATTTATTTCTTCATGTCAGACGGGTAATGTGCCCCCGTCGTACGTAACACGGTTTGAGGGAGGCACATCTCATGCATTGTAAGACATGAACACCCAATCGTCACTCTTATGAACCGAAGGATCAAGATCCTTTTTTAAAAAGAAACTAATCTTGTCTTTTTTACAGTTTCCACCTTGCCTGAGAAATGCTGTCTTCTTCTTCTTCTTTCTTTCTTTCTTTTTTTTTTTTTTTTTATACTTTCTTACAATCTGCAATAATTTGGAGCAGGGCAGGGTGGTCAGTGTCTATAATTTCAGCATTTGGGAAGCTGAGGCAGGAGGAATGCTTGGAGTTAAAGGCCGGCCTGAACTACATATCAAAGCTATTTCAAAAAATTTTTTGTTTTCTCTGCTAGCTGCATTTCATTTACATTTATTACATCTACATTAATTTAGATTCCAAGCAGCAAAAATTGCCTGCAGGCCCTACACAGTTTTTTCTCATTTTTTTTTTTTTTTTTTGGCAGAACCAGGAATTGAACTCAGGTCGCGCTTATTCTGAGCCATCTCCCCAGCCCCCTACACAGTTTTTCTTATCTCCTCCTTTCTTCCTCCCCTTTCACATGGCACTTAGTATGAGGCTTGAAGCAGGTATCAAAGAGTAGGAAACTTTAAAAAAGCTTTAAGAAAAGCAGGGCTGGGGGGGCAAGGGGGAGGCCAGGGAGATGGCTCAGTGGAATAAGCGCTTCCCTGGCAAGCACAAGCGCAAGCGCAAGGTCCAAGGGCTTGAGTTCAATCCCCGGTTCCGAGAAAAGAAAAAAAAAAAGAAAGAAAGAAAGAAAAGAAAAGGGGGCTGGGGAGATGGCTCAGTAGAATAAGCGCTTGCCTGGCAAGTACAAGGG